AAAATTGAATAAAGTACAAGTAAAATTCTAGAGCATCGCCTTTGACGTATAGGTAGCCATTTAAGCTTTGAACGATAGGATGATATGTGGTCATACTTACGTAAACCAAAAATAAACCTTTATTATTAAGAAGGCGCTCTAACTTGTTCAGAAGATTTTCTGACAGATCTGGGTAACATACATCGACATAGTCAATAATAGGTAGAATGAAGGATGAACCAGCGTAAGCTTGGTTTTGAAAGGTAGGAAATTTTTAGGACGATAAAGGGAACGCAAGGTAGCAACAACTTTACGACTAACTTCAGAGATCTGCAATTTCCAGGTTATAGTTTTATCCATGTACAGGCCAAGATTTTTTATAGAATCACAATATGGAATCAAAGTTCCATTATAAATTACAGGAGAGAGATTTCCATAATCAACCATAGCCAATAATTGCGAACTTCCGAATATTATAATTTTGCATTTGGCAGGATTAACAGAAACGCCATATTTAAATGACCATTCTCTTATGGCTTCCAGGTTACATTTAGTTTGTGTATTACAAAGAAGATATTAGCTGACTGTACATAGAGCTGGAGATCATCCGCATACAGATGGTACGAACAATCTAAAACTGAGGAGATAGAATTTATAAATAAGGAAAATATAATAGGAGAAAGTATTCCGCCTTGCGGCACACCAGATTCAATTTCTGCCCATGCAGAAAACCGCTGACCTGAGCGGTTTTCTGCATGTTTATATTATGACATTTTAGTAAACATAGTTTTAATTTTGGTATAAATTATTAGGTAATTATTAAGCTTATATTTTATATTTTTTTCGTGATTTCATTTCTTAATGTTCCTGTGTTTCGTACGGCGAGTGTAGAGATCCAGAGATCATCTTTACCGGTAAAAAACAGAAACAAACAGAATATGGATGTTGGCGTCTATGGGCCATATATGGCTCTAAACATCATCAAGTAGACTGCGTGCTCGTATGACACCATTATTCTATAAAAAAAAAACTAATGTGTACCATTTGGCGTATTCTAGAAGAGGTCTGTGTTTAGCAATAGATATCCAAAGACGTTAATGTGATAAAAATTTAAGGATTTTTCACTACAAGTTCTAGTTATTTCTACAGCCTCATTTTTATCAGTAGTAGAGCCACTCGGCAACTTTTGCTGTTGCACGTATGGGCCGGCTCGAACCGGGGTGGTACCACAAACTCACCAGCGTGAAGTAGAGACTCTGCTTCTGCATTTTATCTGATGAGTACAGGATTGGTCGGAGGCTCAATTCACCCCCCCCCCCCTTTAACATGGTACACTACCCCAGCAGGGTACCCGCACCCCCGTGACGGAGAATCCATCGCTGAGCAGTTAAAGGCACCCCCTGTCACGCTATCCGTGAATTTCACCACCATCATAGGACTCCATTCGAAACTTAACACCGTCCACTACCATCTGAAAACGGTGAAACCGGTCTTGCTCTTTCTAACCGAAACACAGGTGTCCTCTGCGGCTAATACTTCGTATCTCTCGTACCCGGGGTACAAATTAGTACACTGTTTTGTGCCCCGTGCTGGAGTTTGCGTGTAGGTAGGAGCACATTTGTTTTCAAAGCCTCGGTAGCCCTGTAAGTATGGACCTGTCCATCTTATGGCTGCGTGTAGACAGCCACGACCATCCTCGTGTCTACGGGTGCCTCTATAGGTCCCAAAGCAGTAATGCTGACTTATACCTACCCATTAAGCACATCCAAATGGCTGCAGGCTCTGTGCTAAAACAGGTCCCATCCGCAGAAATCGTGCTACTTGGCGATTTTAACGCCCACAACGCTGAATGACTTGGTTCTTGTTGAACCGATCATGCGGGTAGAACTGTTTATAACTTGCTTTGGCATACGGTCTGACACAACTGGTTACCTCGCCTACGCGTGTGTCTGAAGTCGAGATTTTGTTGAACAAAGTCTTGGACTGGGGGAGACTAAATCTAGTTCAGTTCAATCACCAGAAGACACAAGTTTGTGCATTTACCGCTAAAAATAATCTTTTTGTCGTATCTCCTCAGTTTTAAAGCACTCCTCTTGTTGCCTCAGCCAGTATCGGAATCCTCAGCGTCGACATATCGAGTGACGTGCATTTTCGTGGGTCACTTGGAAGAGGTCAAATTGGGCTCTAAAAAGCTTGGCGTGGATAGCAGAGCGGGACAGTATTTCATGTCGGCACAGCGCTTGCAACTTTACAAGGCGCAGGTTCGGCCGCACATGGAATACTGCTCCCATCTCTGGGCTGGGGCTCCCCAGTGCCTGCTCCTTCCATTTGACCGCATCCAGCGCAGAGTTTTTCGTACCGATACGACTTAAAGATCTTCAAGAAGAGAGCTTACTCCTTCTTAAAAGGCCGGCAACGCATCTGCAATTCCCCTGGTGTTGCAGTTGTTCATGGGCGGCGGTAGTCACTTACCATCAGGTGAGCTGAAAGCTTGTTTGCCCCCTCTCCTATTAAAAAATGAAATAAAATGTGTGAAAATGGTAAGTAAATGATAGGTAAAATAGTAACCGTCACCCTATTCCATCCTGTGGGTCAAGGAAGAGGCGACTATGAGATATGCATTTGTACGTTGTCTTCACCAGACTTAAAATAACCACACTGGCGACAGAAATTGTCATTCTGCCTACCAAATATGAAGTTTAATGCGTATCGTAACTACAAAGGGAGATACTTAATTCCAGCCGTGGGCTATTAAGTAAATTATTGATGGAGGAAAAGAAATATTAAAGTCAGAATAAACCAAAATGAGCTTGCTTTTTAGTCATTTTCAAAGAAAGGATGTTCAGGATTTGACTGAATGTTCTTTTGTATGCATGGTACGCTATATCTTCGTCAACTGTAAACCGATTTTTATGATTCCTTTTTAATTAATAGTTTGAAGTGGCAGAACCACACTGTATACACTGTTATGGCTGTAGCATGAATGGGTCGGCTCGACCGGGAAGGGATCATGCTCTCACAAATTACCAGCATCAAATAGATATTTAACGCTGCTGTATTTCGTTTTTTGAATGGAGAAAACCAGAGACCCTTTTTATTAGAAACGTGGCATTCCATCTTATTCCACAAAAGTAAAAACGTACGTGTATTTTGATTCTTAATTAAAGATAAATGTAGATGTCTATGAGCCACAGCAACCACATACGATCAGTTGAACGGTGTGTTCGTTTGTCACATTTATTCTATATAAAAAAATTGATGCTTCGGTAGTAGTGGTGGAAAATTGGGAATAAATATTTAATGTAGCATCTAGGATTACATTAGAATTGTGATATTTGTTACGTAAAATGGGTAAAAAGAATTAAAGCCCTAACTTCAGAATGTAAAATTATTTTTTTCTTCTTTCTTTGAAGTAAAAGCTGATTTATGTTATATATATATATATATATAAACAAGTCCTTCAGATGCTCTTCAATTCCGTCCTCCATGGTGGCATTACTCTAGAGGCGTGCAGCAGAAGTGCGCTGGTCTTGTTCTTTAAGAAAGGCGACAACGCTCTTTTGAAGAACTACAGACCGATTTCCCTTCTGAGCTGCTGTTTTCGAGAGTCATTACGAATCGTCTCGCACGCAGACTCGAAGACTTCCAGCCTCCCGAACAAGCTGGTTTCCGAAAAGGCTTCAGTACCATAGACCACATACATACCCTGCGGCAGATTGTACAGAAGACTGAAGAGTACAATCTGCCACTTTGCCTGGCGTGTGTAGACTGTGAGAAAGCCTTTGATTCCGTCGAAATTTGGGCGGTGCTACAGTCCCTTCAGCGGTGCCAAGATGACTGTCGGTATATCGAAGTGCTGAAGTGTTTGTACAGGAGGGCTACGATGGCTATCCGAGTACAGAACCAGAGCTCGAAATCTATCCAACTGCAGAGAGGTGTAAGACAGGGTGACGTTATATCCCCGAAACTCTTCACCACCGCATTGGAAGACGTTTTCAAGCTGCTGGACTGGAAAGGATACGGTATTAACATCAGTGTCGAGTACATCACTCAACTTCGATTTGCCGACGATATAGTCCTTATGGCAGAATCGCTGGAGGACTTAAGCACTATGCTCAATGACCTCAATAGTGCCTCCCAACGGATAGGTCTTAAGATTAACATGGACAAAACAAAGATCATGTTTAATGTCCATGTCACACTGCCGGTAGTTTTTGGGAGCACTATGCTCGAAGTTGTTGATGACTACGTTTACCTGGGACAAATAGTCCAACAAGTTAAGTCCAACTTCGACCGAGAGGTCAATCGACGGATTCAACTCGGCTGGGCAGTGTTCGGGAAATTACGACATATCTTCTCGTCAGGTATACCTCAATCTCTAAAAACTAGATTGTACAACCAGTGCGTGTTGCCAGTGATGACTTACGGATCTGAGACGTGGTCCTTCACTGCTGGCCGTATGAGGACGCTCAAGGTCGCTCATCGAGCTATGGAGAGGGCTATGCTCGGAGTTTCTCTGCGTGATAGACTCAGAAATGACCATAGTGACCGACATAGCCCAACGGATTAGTAAGCTGAAGTGGCAATGGGCCGGCCGAGAATATAGCTCGAAGAACCGATAACCGATGGGGAAGAAAAGTTCTCGAGTGGCAGCCTCGTACCTGTAGGCGTAGTGTAAGGCGACCCCCCACTAGATGGAGTGACGACCTGGTAAGATATGCAGGAAGTCGATGGATGCAGGTGGCTCAGGACCGTGCTTTCTGGCATTACTTGGGGGAGGCCTATGTTCATGTTGACCTGTGAAGGGCTGTAATGATGATGATGATAAAAAAAAAAAAAAAATATATATATATATATATATATATATATATATATATATATATATATACCGGGTCCGGCGATTGAACTGTCTGTATGGGACAATAAATTATTTTTGTTAATTTTCAATATTTATTTATACGCTTTTTACATGTGACAATAGATGGTTTAAAGTTATGTTATGGCTTCTCTTTCAACCAATTTTACGTTCCAATTGCTCTGTGCGATAGTGCCGAGTCTAGCTGGAAAGTCCAACGCTCAGAACCGAGCGTGTTACCTGCCCACGGTATCAGCATTAAGACTTTGTCTCGATAGATTTGCTGATTTATTTTGACTTGGTTGCGACCCATTGGGAGAAAAATGAGCGGTGAACGGCCTTTTTCGGACACCGCCGCCCAGACCACGATTTGATCAGCTCCTTGACGTCGAGTGACTTGCAGTTCCTCCGCATGGTCGCTGACACGTCCCTTCAACCATACACGGTCATTTCGTTTGTTAAGAAACTGCTCAACGCAGAAAGTTTTCTCATCCGAAAACACCAAATTGGGAAGCTCGCCAGAGTCGAGCAAGCGAATCAGCTCTTTTGATCGCTCTAACCGTTTACTACGTTGCAAAGCTGTGAGTTCCTGAGAAATGTTTTTTTTTTCAATGTTTTGACCTTAAGCTTTTCTTTCAATATACGACGAACACTACGGTCGCTCACGTTTACATCCTGCGCGAGCTGATTTGCTGAGCGCGCTGGATTTCTGTCCAATCGGTGACGTACCTTTTCGACGACTGCTGGTGCCATTGCAGTACAACGCCGTATCCACCATAGCATTTCTTAATGCTACCAGTCTCAGAATATCGTTTGATAGTGCGATGTACAAATTTCTCATTTAGTTTAAGATTTGGCAGCGCTCGACGAATTTCGATGTTCGATTTTCCTTCCAAATACAGAGCAACCACTGAATTACGTTTTAGATCCATCGTTTTAAATTAATAATGTTTTATCTCACAATAAAATCACATCAAACCATGAATGAAAATATGTAAAGGAACAACATTTTAAATTTTGGCGGCGTTCGATTCAGTGGTTCGAATTTTAAAACAGTTAGATCGAGACGGACAGTTCAATTGCCGGACCCGGAATATTATTCTATATATGTCAAGTATAGTATGAAAAAAAAAAACTTAATCTTGAATGAATACGAATTGTTCCTTAATAGAACCCACAGTCCCAGTGGAGTCCACTCTCGTACTATTCGTCTATTTACTGCCTACGCGTCGCAAATCGATAGTCTGTCGCAGGTGCATTGCTGTCTGATAAAGTTTCTCCGTACTTACACAAAACTGATCCAAAGGAAGGAAATGGGAATTGCTTGCGCGAACAAACAACAACCTTTGTATACTACTGTTAATATAATTTTGCGTTTTTGTAGATTCAAAAGGATTGATGATTAAGTTTAAGGACTTTTATTTTAATTGAAGTGTTGACATAAAAGAAAAAAATTTTAAGTTAAGCGCAGAGGAAATGCGCTTGACTTGATTTCCGCGGCATTTTTCTAAAACTCATAAGGAGATCGAAAATTAAGCATTTATTGTACCCTTTTGAAATATTTTCTATTTTCATAAGAACTTTTGTTTGTTTCTACTCTTGAAATAGACAGTAGGTTTGGCTATTGGATCTTGATTTCTATCACAAATTAATTAAATATGAAGAGAAGTTGGAGGCACGTTATTCCTAATTCCAAATACGCAAAATGCAAAGGAAAAAGGTTGGAAGAATAATATACAATGTTCATTATGTTATAACCAAAATTATTATAATTCAAAAATATGAATAACATGACCGTGGATATAGATCTGACAAATTTTATTTTATTTTAAATAATACAATTAATTAATTGACAATGTTTTGTTCACCAATTTTGATTTTCATTCACAAACCCTATAGCGAGAGCAAATTTCTCAGAAATATTGTATTTGCACTATTATGTAAGTATGTGATAATTTGTAGGGTTAGTTAGTTTGATTGCGTAAGACGCATCCATCCTCGTAATTAATGTAAGTATTTCATACTTATGAAATAAAATCATAGGATACACATAGGTAATAAATTTTACTTATTTTAATACTCGCCATATTATAACTATATACATTAGGCATTCCACCAACGGAGTGATGATAATTTGACAAGACATATTTAATAAAATGTAAAAATTATGGAATAATTTCGCTTTCTTTTCTTTTCCTTTTTCAGAAGCTAATTAATAATTAAAATTTGGCATATTTATACATACTCGACCAAATAAGGATGTCCTGATGGTGACGCTTATTACAGTCCAAGCGTCATTTAAAAACAGCTAAGTCCTTGGCTTCTAACTCACTTTATCTTTGCATGGTATAGAGATTAAATCCTCTAGAATCCAGCCTAAATAGTTAGACATGCGAGCGGTGGATTTGGGATAGCTTTTAGTACAGGGTCCCACGCAAAATGCTACTAGCTTTTATGAAAATCCACTAAGTTTGTGGAACATATCTGATAAGACAAAACAAACGAAGTGGCGAAACCGTATTATATTTTACAAATAAACCACTATGTACTTATATCATTATATAAGTTAGTTAAAATTCTTTCGGAGTTCAAGACAAAGCAGCAGAAAATTTTGACATTTATTTTATATAGGCGGTATAAGAACATTCCTCTTATCGTCCCGGGGGTGTCGTAAGAGGCGATAAAAGAAAATAAATAAGGAAATATGCAGCAACGTCTTCCTAAAACAACTGAAAAATTAAAAAAAAAACTATAGTTGCCAACCCCTTTGCCAAGCGTGGCAAGTGTGGCAGGTGTCCCTTCTATGAGGTGAAAGTAGTGGACTTTTGTGAGGCTGCAACGGATGTGGCATAAAATATACATCCATTATTTTATAACAGATATTGTAGAGGGAATATTGCACTAAGATATTTTCAAGTCTAGACATCGTAGTGTAAAAGTTTGAAAAGTAAATTAGATTTCGTCGGCGAGCGTAACAGAAACCGTTGCTGGCCTCTGCACTTATCGAAATGCTACAGGATCCTTAATCCGTTTACTTCCCGATGGACGTCACGACATTCGCATTTTAACTGTAAATTATTTTGTAAATTATTTATCTCAGTTATTAAAGTTGATTCATTTTATTTTTTAATTTAGTTGAGATGGTAGACGTTGTTCTGCCATTTTCAATAGGTGGCTCAATGAGTCTCACTCCGAATTAATAACTCGAAAACGACTGGCCTTTCTCTTGAAATAAATCAACATTATATTTTGATTACGGATAATATAGGTAAATTAATATAGAATTTGCTAATAACTTAACTACAGACCATCTATCATATCTTACACTCACTCACAGCACAATCAGCGTTGCGACAAAACTAACATATTGTGTGAATATGACCTTAATCGGTCGAGCAGTTTAGAAATTACATTATCTTAGATATAAGGGCCTTACCTCGATTCATCTTTGACTATCGCTTGCTCAAGTGTTAATTATCTCTATTCTCGTCTTTTTCTGTTATCCTAAAGTGAAGAGAGAGAGAGAGAGAGAGAGAGAGAAAATTAATATTTTTTACTTAAATTGACGACGATTTAAAAAAAATTGACAGCTTATTTACATAAATGTGATCAAAATTCTTTATTTCATTGATATACCTACATTTTTATATAATTAATTGATTTATGAACTTTTCACGTTATATATAATACAGGGGCATATTTTTCAATATAAAGTTTGAAAATTTTATTGTTTTTTTTTAAATATTTGTTTACCTAATTATGTAAAAAGATCACAGACACTGATACCCTGATACCCTTAATACGGCCGGTCGGTCGGTGTTCTATACTTTTATTGAATGGCATTTGCTTCATGCATACTGTAATAGTGGATAAGAGATTTTTTTTGTAAAGGATAAGGGTGACAAACGAACGCATAGTCTACCTGATGGATGAGAGAGATGGTAAGTGGTTGCTGTAGCCCATGATATGTGTAGCATAGACATCTACATGTATCCTCGATTGCGAATCAAAATGTAGATGCGTTGTCACCTTCATAGGTGTTATTGTGTTATTCTCATGAATAAGATGGGATGCCTATTTTCCATTAAAACGATCTCTGAAAAAATATAGTGGAATTAAGGAATCAAAATAGCTCTTTCAGTCTTCAGGAGAGATTGAATAGATTGTAAATACTTTTACTAAGCTAGTGCGTTTTGTAGTTCATTATGACGGAAATAAGTCAAATAGCTTATAAATTTTAAAAAGAGATCATTGTATAAGTATACAATCGATGTATTACTTAAATATTACATTTTAAGACATTGGTTTAAGTCAAAAGGTTTACATAAATTTTTTTGTATAATAAGGGTGACAAACGAGCACACAGTTTACCTGATGGTAAGTGGATGCTGTGGCCCATAGACGTCTACATTAATCCTCGATTAAGAATCAAGATGCACATGCGTTTCCACACCTGAGGACTAAGATGGAATGCCACGTTTCCAGTTAAAAGGGTCTCCGGTTCTCAATACGTAACACAGCAACATTGAGCTGCTATTTCACGCTGGTATTCTGTGAGAGCGTGGTCCTTCCTCAGTCGAGACGACCCATTCGTGTTTAAATCATAATATAGCTACAGCAAGGCTCTACCACGCATAAATATAATGGAAACAAGCTAACTTTTCTCTGACAAAACCGATAAGATTCGAAACAAGACACTTTTAGGGCCGTTATAGCAATAGGTTCCTACGAATATATCTATAGTATAGTAGTAAAGGAAAACTTTTTTTTATATGATAGGGTGACAAACGAGCACACAGTCCACCTGATGGTAAGTGTTTGCTGCGGCCCATAGACATCTACATCTATCCTCGATTACAAATCAAAATGCAGATGCGTTGTCACCCGTGAGGACTAGGATGGAATGCCTCGTTTCCAGTAAAAAGGGTCTCCGGTTCTCTACACTCACCATACGAAATACAGCAACATTAAGTTACTATTTCACGCAGGTATTCTGTGAGAGCATGGTCCTTTCCCGGTCAAGCCGACCCTTTCGTGCTACAACTATACTACTAATATAACTGCAGCATGGCTCCACCACGTATAAAGCATATTGCACGCACAGAGGAATGGGAGGAGTGCAGAAACCCAAAATTCGTTTATGATATTTGTTAAAATTATATTTGAACAAACATAATGTTATAACTTGTTCTGATTTTGGTATTTTATTTAACTAGATTTTTACCCGCGGCTTCGCTCGCGTGGGCTTGAATTTAGAAACATGATTATACTATTTCTTACTAAAATTAGCAAAACTGTACCCGTCAGTATCTGCGTTTATATTGACAATATTATAGGCTACAGAATCACATAAGTTAGTTTACCAGAATCGATTAAATATCATACGTTAAGCAACACCTTTTTTTATATCGGGCGCATATTTCGATGTGGCTTTATACAAGAAAAATTGTCCTGGAATCGGAAATGCGTTATTAAATTGATATACTTTTGATAAAATAAGGTTTATATTCATAGTCTTTGTTAATATTGGCCCCATTGAATATTTATTAGCAACACACGCCTGTATTTTTTTACGTTAGAGTAGACTTAAAAATTTCATAAACGTAGTTCAATTCACGGTGAACGTGTAAGAAGAACTAAATTTATAAATAGGAGTCGAAATCTACGTAAGATGGGCAGCAGCGTTTTCCTGATCACAGCTAAAAATATGTAATTGGCAACTCTCATGCCAAACACGCAAAAAACTATGGCAA